CGAGAGCGCGACTCCAGAGCGCCGGGAGAGCGATTCCTGAATAAATTATGAGGAAGTCCCAAGCGAGAGCGCGATCCCTGAATAAAATGCGAAGAAATCTGGGGCGGGAGCGGGGGTCCTGGCTAAACTGTGAGGACGTCTCAGGCGGGAGCCGTTATTGTTGTAATCCGGGGGCCACGGGCCCAGTTTGAGCATCAAGACATTTCCTGTCAAACAACAGGGTGCGAGCGTCGAGGGACACACTTTGATTGAGAAAAACAATACGCACCGGTGGGGGGGATCAGCAAGAATGATTCTTCAGAAATGAGAATTCAAGAACAACAACAACAATTGTAAGACTGTTCGCCCTTGTATGCTCGAGTGTCCAATAAGGCGTATTTCCCAAACCTCCCAGCCCCTCCTCCTCTTCCCTCTTCCTCCTCCTCCCTCCTACTCCTCCTCCTTCTCCTCCTCCTCCTCCTCCTCTGGCCACTGTCGCAACTCGGGGAGCCCGAGGCAGTCACTCCCGCCCGCCATCCTCGTCGGGCACCATCGCAAACGCCTGCGACCTCAGAAGCACCCCCGCGCCGCGAGGACTACGACGAGGACGACGACGACGACGACGACGACGGCGACGACGACGACGACGACAACGACGACGACGACTATAGCGACGGCGTCGGCGACGGCGACGGCGTCGGCGACGGCGACGACGACGGCGGCGGCGGAGGCGGAACCGGCGCGGTGACGATGACAACGAGGACAAGACCGGGCTCCCGTGTGCGACTGCTTCTTGCCGTGCCTACGTCAACGCTGGTATCTGGCAGCGCGTAGGTCACTCAACTGTGAGCTATACCTTTGACCCGACACCGGAAATTCGATAGAAAGGAAACGGATTTTCAAGACGGCCCAAGAGGGTTCCAAGATCGCCCACGATCACCCCAAGAGGACCCCGAGTAGGCCCAAGAGGGATCCCAGACGGCCAACAAGGTCCCCTCGCGGGCCCAAGATGACCAGGGAGCCCCCTAAGACGGACTTCGAAAGCGTTAAGAGGCCCCACAAGGCCCCGATCCCAACAGGCTCGAAAAAGGCACCAAACAGGCCCCTAGCGCCTTCAAGTGGCCCGGTATGCGTGTGCTTATATATATATATAGAGGTGTATATACAGTATGTGTATGTATGCACGTATACGTATACATATATGCATGTATGCATGCACGTATGGATGTATGTGTGTCTGTCTGTATGTATGTATGTATGTATGTATGTACGTTTGTGTGTATGTAGTATGTAAGTGTATGGTTGTATGTGTGTATGTAGGTAGGTAGATAGGAAGGTAGGTAGGTAGTGAGGCAGGTACGTATGTAATCATGTATGTATGCTTATGCGAGAGACTGCAAATTCGAATGTATGTATGTATGCATGCATGTATGTACGTATGTATGCCATGCATGTTATGCACGCAGTATAACGTATGGAATGCAAGTCTGTGTGTATGGATGCCTGTATGTATGTATGGACGTACGTGAGGATGGATGGATACATGGACGTATGAATGGATGGATGGATGGATGGATGTGTGTATGTATGTATGTGTGCATGTCTAATTGCATGAATGTATGTATGCATGAATGTATGCAGCTATGTTTGTGTGTACGGATGTATGTATGCAATGTACGAAGACACTTGCAGTGCAATGCTATGCAATGCAATGGTATACAATGTAATGCAGCATAACGAAATGTGTTGTAGTGCACTGTAATGTAATGCGATGGAATGTGGTGCGCTGTGATGTAATGTATATGTATGGTTGCATGCATGTATGCATGTCTGTAGATGTGCATGCATGTATGCATGCACGCATGCGTGCATGCATGCATGCATGAATGCGTGTTTGTGTGTGTGTGTTGTGCAGCTTGCTGGTTCTCGAAATGTGCTGCGCTCATTGGTCACACGCCTTGGTTGTGCACTCCACCCATCACTTGCCACCGTTCGTGCGCGGTCAGGGCGTACATGTCTGTTCTGATCCGCGAGGGTTGCCGGGGTCAATCCAATCCCCCATGGCTCCGAACGAGTGCACTACATCATCCTGCCATGGAGCCTGCCGCGAGGCTGCCGCGGGCACGGCATTCCGGACGGCCAGCTGCCGAATCACATGAGCACGGACGTCGGGCGGAAACTTAGCTGGCCACCCCTGTCGCAAACATGGCCTCTCCCCCCCCACTCTGCCCCTCTAACCAAGCGCCCAATCTCTCCCGGAGTTCGCTCTGACAAAGATTTCGAGGCAAATCCGTCCGTGGCGACGAGGGATTCTCCCGACGCCCAGGGAGCGGGAGGGCGATCAAAAACGTGAATGTCATCGTGCTCCATCATTTCAGCTGCTGCTGTTGCCCCTCCTCTGACTCCTCCTCCTCCTCGCTCGTAGCTGCGGAATGATGTCCACTACTCACCTACCTCTGCCTGCTGCAAGAGCTGCACCCGAAAAGATCAGGCACAAATAGAACGATCCAGGGGCGTGTGATACGAGAGACTGCGCGCATTGTCGTATGCAACGATTAGACGTTGACATGCTAAGTCGCGACCCTCGCGCGAAATGCTCTTTGTGAGGCCAAGCCGAAAGTCGAGGTGGTAAGGCATCGGGCGATCAAGAAACCAGGCTTGGCGCACGGCTTGCCACAAAGCAGGGGAGCTCAATTAGTGGGCCTAAGGGTCCTTCGCACCTTCAGCCTCGCAGCCGAAAACACAATGGCGGTCCACGTGCGACACTGTGCGTTCCTGATCCCCCCCCAAGGCTCCGAGCACGGACAGCTGCCAGGAGAAAGGCGCCGAAGCCAGACGGTCCCGAAGGCTCGGCCAGGAGATCCCTCGAAGAGTTTGCGCGGAAGGCGGCTTGCTGGGCCATGCGCATAACCGTTTCTTCAGCGTGGCTTCAAGACTGTCCTGAAAAAGGCTGCGCACCTGGGCTGCGAGCGAAGACCTTCTGGACCTGCACGCTGGGGTTCTCACGCTGCACCTCGTGGAGAGAGCTTGGGTCGCCACTCGCCCAGGCTGGTCTCGACCAGCAGCTGAAACAACGAGGGCGACGCCCGGTGGCTGGAGGACCAAAAATCCGGAGCCCACGCGGCGATCGGGAGAGAGCGGCGAGCCCCGGCCTGCACGTGTTGTGCAACCCGTTTGCCAGCTGGCGACGGTGCAGCGGGCCGCTCTCCACCTCCCTCGTGCAGGCAATTGCCTGCACGAGCGCCGAAAGGGGCGAGCCTGGGCCCAGGAGCGGATGGAGAGCGAGCGGATAAGGGGGAAGGTGAAAGGGGGAAGGCGGAGGACCTTGTGGATAGCCTGAGGCTCCCAACGGAACACCTGCTTCAGCAATGGCATCAGCTGGCACGAGCACGCAAACTTAGCAACAGCACGCGTGATGTAAGGATGAATGGCCGGCGATGGCGCCGCCAACATGCTGTCGCGTTATGACCCGAACAATCTCAACCCACCCACGGCAAACGCGATCCCAGGAACCATTCACGACAGAAACACACAACCAAACGCCTAGACATTCAGCCGAAACCATGATCGGAACATGAGCCCACAGGGGGGGGCCTCCTTGGCAATGGGCGAAGGAGTCGACACGCCCAGGTGTGAATGTGCCCTCCAGCGGGCCGTAGCGGTACCTGAGCTTTTTAAAGTCGCAACAATCCTGTGGTGTTGGGTCCTCGTTTTCAAGAGCGCCCACCGTTCCTGCCTTCCTTCCCGTTGCCCCCTCCCTCCTCCCCCTCCTCCCTCCTCCCATCCGTCTCGTCATCGTCATCGTCATCGTCATCGTCATCATCGCCATCATCGCCATCGTCATGATCCACATCATCATGATCATCACCATCGCCATCGTCAGCGCCGCGCCCCTCACACGGTTCGTGGCACCACAGGGAGCTCCACCGAAGGCCAAGGCACACCCCTCACACGGGTCGCAGCCTCATAGGGAGCTCCTCAAACGAAGGCCCCAGCGGGAGCGTCCGCATGACACCGCCGCCTCATTCCGGCCCACCACTCACACGGTGCGTGGCCCCATAGGGAGCTCCACCGAAGGCCCCAGTGGGAGCGTCCGCATGGCACCGACGCCCCTTTTCGGCCAACCCCTCGCACGTTTCGTGGCCCCATAGGGAGCTCCACCGAAGGCCCCAGCGGGAGCGTCCGCATGGCACCGCGCCCCCATTTCGGCACACCCCTCGCTCGGTTCGTGGCCCCATAGGGAGCTCCACCGAAGGCCCCAGCGGGAGCGTCAGCATGGTACCGCCGCCACATTTCGGCACACCCCTCACACGGTTCGTAGCCACATAGGGAACCTCGCCGAAGGCCCCAGCGGGAGCGTCCGCACGGCACCGCCGCCTCATTTCAGCACACCCCTCACACGTTTCGTTGTTCCCATATGGAGCTCCACCGAAGGCATCAGTGGGGGCGTCCGCATGGCAACGCTGCCCCTTTTCGGCCTACCCCCCACACGCTTCGTGGCCCCATAGGGAGCTCCACCGCAGGCCCCAGCGGGAGCGTCCGCATGGCACCGCCGCTTCATTCCGGCACACCCCTCGCACGTTTCGTGGCCACATAGTGAGCTCCACGGAAGGCCCCACAATAGCGACAATCGCAGGAGTCCTCCCGACTCCTGTCGGCACACCCTTCACACGTTTCTTGGCAGAAAGCTATAACGCGTGCGCTACTCGGAGTTTGCGCGACCCCTCATTCGTCTCATCTCCCTCGCGGCACTCGCAGCTGCATATGGCTGGATCATTCGTCAAGCTAATCTAAGAGGGTTACAAGGGCCTCGACAGCAAGGGAAACACCCTGCACATGTTGGAGACCCTGAACGTAGAAAGAGCAAGACTCACATCGTCCGCACAAGCTACAGCCACATTCTCCTCCTCTTCCTCCGCTTGTTCCTCCTCCTCCTCCTTCTCCCCCTCCTCTTCCTCACCACCCTCTCTTCCCCATCCCCTCTAAGGCTGGAGCCTGTCCCTGGCCGCGTTCTCCATTTC